CCTACATTGCAACGCAGCCCTCATACTCTCCATCCCCCCCCCCGCTGACTGGTCAACAGAGATTACACTCAGAGAGCAGAGCCTGGCAGTCAGTCAGAACGGCTGAGCATGTGACCGACTGAGTGACACATTGAGGGACGGGAGACAAAAACTTCTTTTCTTTTCTACACTGCTTCCCATTTAACTCTCCTCTACTTTATTCCTTATTTTGTGTAATTTACACATCGCCTTGTGTCCTCCAGAGCAGCTTCTTTAAGGACGCATGTCCCAGGATGAAAAAGGCCTTAGCCAATCACAGCAACTGCTTTGCTTTGAATGTTTACAAGCCTCAGATTTTATTGTGACAAACAGAATTTTAAGTTCAATGTGAAAATTACACCAAGAGACTGAGATTTCCTTTAATTGCACGATCAGGGGAAGCTGGTCCGTCTGTCTACTGTAAAGGATTAACTTGAGTTGCTGGTTTGTATTTACTTATTTACTGATTGAGTAAACTGGTTCACGTGTTAATCCCCTTGAATGCTGTATTGTGAATAGATTCCCTACTGTATTTGCTGTACAGGCCAGTATTGCTCTAGATGTCACAGATATCCTGTGCACAACTACTGTGACCCATCTACCATTGTGTCCCTGAGCAAGACACTTAACCCCTAGTTGCTCCAGAGGCGTGTATAGCAATTGTACGTCACTTTGGATAAAAGCGTCAGATAAATTAATAAATGTATTAAAATGTAAATGTATAAAATAATAAAGGCGCATGCCCAGTGACATTTGGTTGTTTTGATTCTATTATTTTTGTAACAGTAACAAAGTTTGTTAGAATTTGCCTGATCGCCTTTGGTCCTGACCTCTCAGTGTGACCTATTGTATGAGCGTGTGTGGTGCAGACTAATCTCTAGACAGTAACTCCGCAGCTTGTTTACATGTAGGCTGGGAAACACCACGGGAGCCTGCTGCACCAAGGACCAATGCACTAAAATTAGCCCCCAAACTTCCATTTCCTCCCATTTGAGTCTAATGAAAAAGAAAACATCTTAATGTTTCATGCAATGTACTTTTATAGCAAGTACACAAAATACTAAAATTTTATAGCACAATAAAAGCAAGATCATAACCTACCCACATAACATAAAGATACTTGAGTACATGTAAAATTTCTACAGTTAAAATATTACTTTGGTAAAGGCACAGATGTTTGATCACCAAAATATCCATTATGCAGCAGAATGGCCTCTGTCAGTGTTGTATTATTAGGTAGGCCTATTATGTTAAGGAACTTTTATTTCTGATGCATGTAGTGTAACAGTGTGGTGTAACAGGTTTTGGTAAGGCTGGTTAATATAGCACGCTGCTCTCTATATAAACCATATGTTTATTTAAGGTGTGAGCTACTTTGTTACTTTATAGGCTACCACTGTTAATATTATGAGAAAAACAAATACCATAAATTGAATGTAAAACCCTCCACTTATTATATACAGTCTATGTTCTAAACCAGTTGTCACTGAAATATTATAGCGCCTGCCAACACGAGTCACGAGTCAGCTCCTTCAGGTAAGCCTATGTTGTGTTAATTGCCGTAGTAAATTATAGCGCGTCGGCGCATTGAACTCACTCTATTCGTATTCAGTCGCCTACCTAAAGCTGTGGCAGGTAAGAGGATATACAATGACCACGTTGACATCCCTTCACAGCAAACTAAATCGGGGCAGTCACGTCGCGCTCGTCTTCCTCGTCCCGGGCCCGCCCTGCACCGCCCACCGCCGCTTTGTCAACCCGAAACTATGGATCATCATTACCACGTATTCATTCATCATGCGCCTGTGCTGCGTTCAAGTGCTACACATAAAAAAGTTTTTGTTTGTGGCTGTTGGTTTATTTTGTCCCGGAAGTTAAACAAAGTGACATTCTATGATTAAATGTAGCCTAAACAATAAATGCATAATAGTTTGAACTTATTCCTGTTACAGTGGGCCATCACTTTTCATGTTTAGCAAAGCCCAGCCATCAATGTTAGATTTGTCCATCACAAATGTCCTAACTTTCCAGTGGTGGAATCTAAATAAATACTTTTACCCACGTAGGCTAGTACTTAAGAAAAGATATAGCCTAGTTACTACTTTACTCTACTGGTAGGCCTACTTTTACTTTTGCTGCTTTAGTGCATTTGGTAATAACAATGATGTAGTTTTAATCAAGTAACATTGTGAATGCAGTAGCTACTTTTACTTGGAATGGAACAGTGTGGCATTGTTACTTTTACTTAAGTTAAACATCTGAGTAATTCTTCCACCACTGTCCTTTTCCTACTTCTTTTAATTTTATGTATAATCACAAAAGCAATATTTACCTTGAAGGCAGCATTGTGCACTATGAATAACATCTTGTAGTGTTAACTTTGAAAGTGCTTTGAAAAGTGCTGGTAAGTTGATCTAAAAGGTTCACATATTTGTAGTATCTACAGGCAGGGTTTGTGTCATCAAGGAAAATATCATCTTTAAATACATAATTACATTATATAGGATATTTAGTGTAACACATATGATTTTACTTTGATAAATCAAAATAAACAATAGCTAGCCTATCACAAGGTAGAAAAAAGTGTAAATGTCACAATGTACACTACTTTTGACTTAACAGCATTTTCTTTGTTTGTTTCTTTTTCTTTTTTTTTACAACTTTTATTTACATTACTAAAAGATGTTTTGTCCTCAGGTGGTGTGTGAGTGAACTTTGATTCTTGTGGGATTATATTGCCTGACTGTGCTGTTTGTTTATTCTTACCATAAGGTTAATGAGGAATAATAAACAACTGGGCTATCTGGGTTAACTAATTATTCACTAACTATTAACAACAACTCAGGCAGTAAAGTAGGCAACACCATATCACAGTGCTCCAAATTTGTGCCTAACTTTTCCCAAAACAATTTGTCAATCATTGTAAATATGGTATGGTACAGCCTGCGGTGAGTTAATCAACTGTGAGTTTTCCTTGGCCATGAATGAATCTGTAACTTTGAGGACACGCGGTCATTCAAAACATCCTTCAAACACAGATAGTCATGCCCTGGTCTCCTTCCACTTGCCCTCTATATAAGCCCTCAGAAATATTTTAAACTAATAATTAAAAACGTTTTGGGAAATAAATACTAATAGCTTTAATGCCAAGAATTATATGAGAACAGCCATCCTGGGTACAGCAAGCAGCCTGTTATCTTAGTTTAGCACAAAGAAAAAGAGGGGGAAACAGCTAGCTTTCCCTGCGGCTTTCCTCTTATGCCTATAATTAACATGTTTTATCTCATATGTTTATTCCATACAAAAAGTTTAAAAACGATAAGTTATGGTTTTTTTAGTGGGTTATTACTACTAGACTATTTCGTGGAGAGGAGCGGTAACTGCCTCACACTGACAACAAGACTAGATAAGTGAGCTTTTTACGGTGTTACCTGTATTTGTACTGATGCCCCTTCTCCTCCTCATCCACATCCACCATCCCTTATATCTATTTCATCTGACACCCTGTTACCCCCTCTTCAATAATCCAAACAGCTGTGTCCACTGTTTACATAAAACCCTGTTGTTGCGCAGTAGATCAACTCATTTTCCTGTGCGAAGGATGAATGCAAACAGAGTCCCACCTGCGACACAGCAGGGTCTGTTAGTACAGTTTTCCCTCTGTATGTCACAGGACACAGACCGCCCCTTCAATACATCCTGGATTGAATGTCCACTCTATATTCCAATGAGTTCGTAGCTCTTTGAAGTTTAAATCTAACACAGTGCAGTCCGACCCACCACCTAACATCCTGTCGTCCTGGCCTCACATATTTCCCTCAGAAATCAAAACAGAGGCTGGTTAGGTGCAGTTTCCACTTTAATAACCGATCAACATTTCTCTGCGCCGGATGACCTGCTGCTGCTGGAGCGTGTTACTCCTGCCAGGTCTAAATACAGAAAAATTACTTTGTAATTAGGTGAGATTTCCACATTCATGAAAAAGTACAATATATGGGAAGGGGTGCACAGTTAAACAACAACATCAATTTGTTGCCAATGTAACCAAAATTAAATTTTCATCTCATTGGGCATTCATCTAAGTGATTCCTCGGTAGCACCAATGCCAAGCGTGCACACAGCTTCAGCAGAGCTGTACAGATCTGTGTAAAAACCCACTGAGAGTGCTGCTCCATCTTTGTTCTAGTGTGTCATCAGTACCCACTGTGCCTTGGCATGTTTATTGTGTCTAAATTTGGTGCTGGTGATAAAGATATTAGCGCTACATTGTAGAACTTGATGAACAGTGCCTGTAGCTCTGGGAGGATTAGGTTAGCTCAAGTCCACTCACTGTTTGTTTATCTGCTTATGCAACACAGAATGTGCTCAGTCAGATGCATGCTAGTCATTCATACAAGCACCATACTGTTTGCATTAGCTGGATGGCAATTATTCACTTTTGTCCTAACGATTCAGTGAATTTTGGATTGAGGGAAACTAGATTGTCACTTGATTGCGTTGTAGGCTACATAAGATGAAATAGGTTATACTTTTGGCTTGGGCAATAGTGCTACACGCATAATCATTTTTATTCAGTTAGTCAATGTGAACACATGAATGAACACACTTTAATGTGTTACTTGCCTTGTGCCTTTGCCTTTTTGGAAAAGGCAGAAGGTTTCTCATGCCTTTTTGAGATGCAGTCTTTAATAATTACACAGACCTGTTTGTCACACTGCTGCATGTCAGCTGACTGCCAATGTGGTTATGTGACTACTTTCATTAAAACAGCACGTCTGATAAACAACCTTAATAATAACTGAGAAGACAAATTTCTTTTCTTTATCATGGTTTACATATTTTCCAAGATTACACCATCTGCATTAGACAGGAGAAGAAAATCAGTCAACAGTAAAGTCTTGAGAAGTGTGTTCACATCTTGTTGGTGTCCAATTGGTTTAAACTTTGCCCCCAGGAGCTCACAGACCAAGCAAACAATGTTATTAAGGTTTTACTGTTTAATGGCGACTGTTACACATCTGTAACATTTACCCAACCTGGTTAGTCACTCAGTAACAACCTTATCAACCTCAAGAGAAAAGAGGACAGTCTTATCATAGCAGTTACTGCACCGTTTTGAGATAATGAATATAGGTCGGACTCTCTAAATTCACTTCACCGCCAAAAGAAAATCCACAGAGTTTGTCTTTTGACCCATGATAAGGAGCCATAATTATATGCTGCAGAAATTCATACAATACCTGTGTGCTGACTGCTTTGGAGTAAAAAGATGTCTTAATGGACTGAATACCCTAACATGCCAATCATCATCTGTGAAAGAAATAAAACTAAGCAAATTAGACATGGCCCTGTGATGGACTGGCGACCTGTCCAGGGTGTAGCCCGCCTTTCGCCCAGTGTCAGCTGGAATAGGCTCGAGCCCCCCGCGACCCTGTATGCAGGATAAGCAATTGACGATGGATGGATGGATGGAAATTAGACATGATAGAAAGAAGAAGAAGAAGACATACTTTACAAGGGGAAATTTAATGTTCTCACTCTGGTGTTATTATTGTTATTAGTATACACACACATGCACATGCAACAACACACGGAGAGATGTCAGAGTGAAGGGCTGCCATTCAGTGTGGCAAGTTGGGAGTTCTGGGGCTTGCTCAAGGCCACCTTCGGCATTGCCCAGGAGGTGAACTGGCACCTCTCAAGCTACCAGTCCACGCTCCACAACTCTGGTCCAAGCTGGACTCGAACAGGTGAACTGAAAAGAAAAAGTGAAAACGTGATGTGTATTTTCTAAGGGCTTTTAAAGGAATAGTTGCTGAAATTTCTTTGATAGACAGTAGGCCTATATAAGCATGAAAGTAAAGATACTTTCATGCTTAAAGTTAGATGAGAAAATCGATACAATTCTTATGTGTCTGTTAAATGTGAAGCTGGAGCCAGGAGACAGTTAGCTGTCTTAGCTAGCTGGAAACAGGGAAACAATTAGCCTGACTTTTACTTTTTGTGCATGCTAAACAAATGACACACCATGTGTTAATTATTTAGGTATAGTGGTGCTAGTAGACCTTTAGACAGAGCCATGCTAAGCTAAGCTAACTGGCTTGCTGTAGCTTGTAGCCACATATTCAACAGACACAGAGTGGTATCTAACAAGAAACAAAAGAAACACAACTGTGCCACAAATTACATGTAATCGTTTGTCTGGACACCACAGGTAACTTGGAAAGTATAATTTTTCTTTGTTAATTTTACCAAAGGTTTGTAAAGATTTAGCAACAAGACACTGTAAAGACATGTTGTCTTTCTTTTCACTGAAAACACAATGAAGGCAAACCTTTCTGCATTGGTTAAAAACTTACATGAGCGTACAGGCCTTTTACCTCAAAAACATTTCATGTCATGTGTGTCTGAATCACCCATTATTGTTACAAGTCTGTTGCATCATTGTGGTTGTCATGAGTGGCTAAATCATCCTTAGAGGAGGGTCACACCAAGACTCTGGGATGGGCATGTGTATTGAATAAAAATGAGGAAAAAGGCAGATGTCAGGAAACAGCCCATTATCATATTATATTGAATGTAAATACATTTTCTGTACAGGTGTAACTGATTTAGCTGTAGTCAGTGGAATTGATGAGCTTTGATCCTTAGTGCTTCATATTCTCTCTTTTATTATCTGCTCTGTTTGCAGTAAACAGTACTGAATTGTGGCCATGAACTTAGAGATCAAACTTCAAAATGGCATCCAGTAGAGAGACGATACAGAGCGCAGGAGACAGTATAGGCCTATTATTATTACTGGAAAAGGCAGAAAAAGAAGATGAAAAGAGGATTAATGAATGACACAAAATCAGGATATCATTCTTGAAGATTCCATATTTAAAATTTAAACAGGGTTTCTCTTCTTTTAATATTTCTTTTCTTGCCTCATCTATTTATTTTTTCTATTTACTGTTGTAAGTTATATTTGGCAAGCACTTTTAATAATGAAGTAAAGAAAGTGAAAATAAGGCATAATTACATTAAGACTAAATTAACAAGAAGTTAAAATGTATGTAAACTCTGCAACCAGCCAGGTGAAAGTCCACTCACATCAAGCATTGAGACACTCTGCAGCCCACATATGCTGCACAAAATCTTTCAAAGTTGGCAAGCCAGAAAATGCAATCTTTGTTTCACAGTCACAGGAACATGTAGATGCTCACCATGTAGTGTTTTTATTAATGGCCAGATTACATAAGAATATTTTTGTTTGACTTCTGTCCATCAGTTTTGCTCCCCATGTTTCGCAATGAAATTAGCATAGTGGTTATTTTTCTCCCCTCCAATGCGCCTATTGTCTGATGGGTTCCTGTCGAGAGCCTCATATTACAAGCCCACAGTGCGGCTATTGTATCTTGACAAGGACCTTTTACACACTCATTGCCAATACTAGCACTTATTGGCAGATTGAACAGAACAGAACAGCCAGACTCTTGCAGGTGTGGAAATTTCCATGCAGAGCCCTACTGTATGCTTAGTAAGTGAAACAAATGGAATCACAAAAAAACATGCTTAGAAGATGCAGAGGAGTGCATCTATACCATATACTCAGCTCTCATATTACATGTGCTGTGTGCTGTTGAGAGGTGTCAAAACACATAGAGGCCATTCATCACAAGAATAATTTCAGATTAAATATCTATTTGATGTCACTTGTAGAGGCCATTGTAGCAGATAAGACTGTCTGTTGTGGTACTGAGTACTGCATCTGTAGGACTACCTAACTTTAATTAGACAATGGTGCGCTAGCAAGGAAAAGCTGTTTGATCCAAGGAGAGGGAAGGGCTTCCCTTTGTACAGATTTATCTCCTCTTGGCTTCAAATCAAGGCTGCATTCCTGGCCCTTTAGCCTCATACAGCCACAGAAAGAACCCATGAAAGATGTCAGGTGTTACGATTACAAGAATGTAAAAACCCCATTATGACTTCTAGTCCTCAGTTAGAGTAAGATGAATCATAGTTTACAGTAGACTGCTTGCAAAAAGACAAGCAGTCTTGCCAAGATTCCTGTCCACACCCTAATATAGAAATAACTCTGTTAAAGTAATTACCACCTAACAATGAAAGTAAACCAAATGTGTCACATCATCAGCACATCATCAGCACAGTGACACACAATTGGGTAATGACATTTGATACAGCTCACTTGCAGCTAAACTGTTTTGTCAGCACACATAGTCTATGGAAAAACTAACTACCACACCTGATTAAAAACATTATTATTAAAGATTAGAAAAGCAAATGCAAGTCCTTAAAAGAACATTACAGGTGATTAAACAACAGAGAAGTCACTATGAATTCAAAATAAAGGCTCACAGGCAGTTTGAAAGAGTATTGGTGATATATCATGGTGGTGGTGAGGAGAGTGGGGGGGAGGGGGGTGATCTTTCACAGCATTTTACCAGAGACAATTTTGATTTCACCCATGAGTCGCTGTCATCAGCTTCCTCATCATGCAACCACTGGAAAGACGCTGCGATTTCAAACCCACAGCTGCTGTTGCCCAATAGAGAGAGCAGCGAGGAAAGTGGGCCGGGCTGCACGCCCCCAAGGCTTTATAAAATTCCCTCATACATCCGCCTTGTGCTGCACGTTGTAAACAAAGCAACTCTTCTGTCACTGCAACAATTTGCGATTTGAAACGAGAGAGAAAGAAAAGTTTTTGTGGACTTTTTCTGAGGAGAGTGTTCATCTCAAGACAATCAGAAGTTAAAACCAACAGGTAGGTTTCTGCTTCAGATAATAAAGTTACTCTTATTATGTAAGGAAGTGTGCGCTTAACTTTACTGTTGTATGTAAGTTTCCCAGTATGTCTGAGCACGCACCTCCTAATACAAGTTTTTAAAAAGGATGTTGTTTTAGTTTAAATCCCAAAAACATGTGCCAATTTTGATCGACCACAACTAACAGAAAAGGCCAACGCACAGAGCAAAACATGAGTATATGTTTAGATTTTTTTGCGCATAATAAGGACATGCAAAACACGCGTTATTAGGCTACATGTACACATTTTTGGGAGGGCGTTTTTATATGTTTTTGCATATTTATAAAACAACGTGGCATGTATTAGTTTTAATAGTATGGCACTCTTGTGTGTAGCATGTAAACTAGTGGCAGAGGAACACATTCTCACGTGACCCTAGAAGCGCACACGCACAAGCAGGAAGACTTTAAGATAAATGTTGCAACTTATGGGAGCAGTCATTTCATAACAAATCCTCCTAGCCTAGATATTAAGAAAACAAACACAGACAAACATGATGGTGGCTGAAGGGGGGAGGAGGTAATGCTTGCAACTAGCTAAATCAAAATGTGAAAAAAAAAAAGTCAAGTCAAGGACTTAATGGCAGTCTGCCAAAATATAAAGCATATCCTCCATTAGTTGCTATAAACAAGCTAATACAAGATACAGCACTGCATCCTGATGTATTTTCAGCAGCTTGCAGCTAATTCTAATGTGTGATATATTGCAAAATCCAGCCTTCAATCCTGTCTAAAAGATGATAGACCTGATCTCTGAAGGCCTTTTGAGCTGTGGTGATGCATGGGAGGATACATCTGACACTAAACACCAGCTGCTTGAACCAGTGTTGGTGATAATGGTTGTTTTTGAGCGGTGATCCCCTCAAACGACCCTTGCCCCCCCTCACCAACTTACCACAGCAACGGAGACCCCCCACATCTTTTACTATCTGAGAATCTAGGTCTGTGTCAGCTTAGTCCAGCGGGCCTGCTGCTGCCGTGCTGATATTTCAGAACCAGGGATTTGACAGATTAAACGAGTTCCCAAAGATTAGGGAAGCAATCATTGTTTCTGTAGATGGATGCTGTGGGCTCGTGGATTTATATGGAGGCAATGGAGTAGGGATGGCCTGCCCTTGATTCTGGCTCCCTAGAATTGAGGCTTGCTGTCCAAATCTAATCAGTACATATGTTTCTCTCTCGCTCTCTCTCAGAAAACAGAGAAAGAGTTTGAGCTCAGGCTGTTTTGTAACTAGGATGTTCTGGTTTAAAGAAGTGTCGTATCTCTGGATTTACAAACACTAATGTGTTATGTAGACCTGCGTCCGCGTTGTTGTTGTTGTTTTCCCTCTGAAGCTCAAGCCATATTATATCGCTGTCAAGTGAAAACATTAGATTTTCAAAAAAAATCAGCTTTTCAGGTATCAACACTAAAAACCTTATCATGAGAAATATGGTTATTATCAATAGAGCGGCAAAGATGAATTAATTAGTTGTCAACTATTAAAATAATCGCTAACTATTTTGATAATCAATTAATCGGTCTGACAAATCTTTATTTCCATATCTTGTTTCAGAAATAGTGAAACCGTATACCGTCTAATATTTCACAAAAAGTATAGAGTTGGAGAGTAGTAGAGATGCAGCCGATTTGGGACTACACATTTCAGGTCATCCTGAGCCTATATCCTCCCACTGTTTCCTGTTCATGATTGCATAACAGTGTCTCGCTTCTGCCAGGCCAGAGCTGTTCCAGTGAATAGTTTGTTTTCTTCCCCACAGCCTGACATTTTTTAAAAGAGAAAACAAAAGTTTCAATAGGGAATATGTATGTAGGAATTGTTTTAGCTTGGTTAAAGACCATGTGTGGCTTTTTGCCAGTGACACCAAGCCAGTTTGGAGTGAAGCCATTTTAAAGAAAGCACCCCTGCTGCAGCAGTAACATAACATCCCCGTAAGAAAAAGATGCACTGCAAAAACATCAAAATGGAACTCTGAGAAACAACATTTAACTCTTTGTTTTCATATAATTTATATGTATATTTTAAATACAACAACGGTTTTCCATTCCAATAATTTCACATGCATGACTGTGTTTGACAAATCTTACAGGAGAAATGTCGAGACAGCAACAATCCTCTCAGTGCTTGGGAATGGGGATCATGTGGGGTTAAACTAACACACCTACCTCCCTCCTCTCCTCTTGGCCAGGTGAAACATTAGCTAAGCAAGGCGACCGGTTCGAGGCACACCGCTGGTGTGAACAGCAGGTGACCTAGTTGTCTCAGCCTGTTGCCTTGGCCAAGCTCTTTCTCTACTGTCAGCCTGCTAACAGGTGGTGATTGTGGCCAAGTCCAGAGGAAGTCTGTGTTCTGTTAATGAGCTCTCCGGGCTGGTTTTACACAGCCATGTTTGCAAATAGGCTTGAAAAAAGGCTTAGAGGATTCCCCCCATGTTGATGCGTGCTGATTTTTCCCCTTTTCTAATCTGAAACCGCCTGAGTTGTTTCATGCCTTCTCTCACGTGGCTGTGGAATCTCAACGGGGGCTGAGTTCTTGTCCTCTTCAACAAAGCTCCTGCAGTGTGATGGCGGCCATGTTTTTGGAGGCCTCAGCAGAAAAATGAACCTGTTGTTTGATACTCCTGTTCCTCTATGCTATTGTGAGATCCGGCTGGCTCCGGTCTCTGGGCGGGCGTGCGTGCGTGCGTCCAGGGCGTATTCTGCCGGACAACCATCATCTCCACATTTGAAATGTAATGAATCACTTCCTCTAAAAAAAAAAAAAAACACCTCGCTCGGACAGCCACGCTGCAGTCCTGTAGGTTGATGTTTTTGTTTTCTTCTGTTCCTATAAACAAAGGTAAACAGAGAAAGACAGAGCGCACAAAGCAGATGGAAGGACTCAAAGCAAGCAAACATAGTGACTGCAACCAAGCAGAAACCGAGACAAACAGAGCAGCGTGATAGAATGAACACAGTTAGAAAGCCAGCAGAGGGATGAAAAGAGGCTGGGAACTATTGATAGGAACAAGGGTGTCTGTTGCTTCCTGTGTGTGTGGGTCAGTAAGCAGGGGGAGAGAGGAGGGCCGGGACATTGCTCTCAGGAGCCACTGGTGCTTGTGGACAAAGAGCCCTGTTAACTGGCTAATTTGATTTATATGCAGAGCAACAGCCTGTCCCGCACTCCTCCAACACAGCATCATGATCCACAGTACAAGCTGACGCCTGGCTTCTCTTCACACTCCCCCTTTCCTTTCTTTCCTTTTTCTCCCTGCCTTTCTCAGCTTCTGTTTGTCTGTCCCCCTCTTCTTTCTTCTCTCTCTTGAATCTTTCTCGCTGAACAGGACGTTAGTGTTCTCTTTTGAAATATGCGCCAGGTCTTTATCAGGGAGTGACTGCTTCAATTTTCAGTTCTGTGGGTAATCAACTCAGGTTGTCTTTGAGATTTTCTCTCCATGTGTCTACTCATCGGTCTGTCTGTGTGTCTCTGCTGTGGGCGGTTTACAGGTGTGGCCCATTATTTGGTTTGCATGTTAGTGCAGATCAGTGTGTGTGTGTGTGTGTGTGTGTATGTGTTCAGGTCTGTAGTAGATTCTTTATTTGCTTTGTGTAGATAAGAAACACGCCCCCACTCCAGCCCCCACTTCTTTTCAGGGAATTTTATTGTCTACAAATCTTACAGCCAGCCAACCTTTGCCACACCTTTTTGTTAAGAGGTTTGAGATAAACATCTTGCTTCATTAAAAAGGAAACACTTAAGTATCTTGTACAATTTGGGCTTTTTACCCACACATTATCCAAACACATCTTTCCTTTCGTGACCTCTGAAACACAGGTTGATCCTGTCACTCACTCACTATTGTGATCTCTCTGCCCACCAGGCTCCGCAGGTCTTTGAAATGGATGACATCCAAGTTGTTGAGTCCAAACCCCTGCTTGTTGACAGGGACCTTCCGGTATGTATTCTGAACAGAGCCAAGTCAAATCGTGTTTGACAATAACTCTCAGAAACATGTTGTGACCTGCTCGAAGACTTTATCCCTCAGCTTTGCATGATTTACACCTGAAGAGTTACTTGTGTGGTTCATTAGATACATCTGTGGTTGAATGTGATTGTTGCATGTAAGACTGAATGAATACACTATTTCAGAAAGAAATACACTAAAATAATAATTAAGTTAGTCACTGTAAATCTCCTGTATAATTTCTGACAAGTAAGTGCTGCAGAAAATGGTTCTCTTCATTTTTTTTTTCTTTTTTTTTAATTCTTTTTTTTTAATTAAATCTCACATTCTTTAATTTCTTATGTTGTTTTACAAGAAAATAATTTCCGTTAATGAGTGGACAAAAAAGGTTTGTGTGAACGTTTCTGTGCACCACAAGCTCTGAGGGTCGTTTGTTGACCCTATCCATCCCTTAATAACATTGAATATACATGTAAAGTTCAATCATTGATCAGTTGTCCTTTGTAACTATTATGCTCACATGAAAGAGGTCATATGGATGTGAAAATACATTCAGTGACAGGATGACGCCCTCAGGATATTAGATTATAGCATGTTACACCATAATTGAATTAGTTCTGTATTTTCATTACTCTGTTCTTTCCTTGCAGGGCCTGAGGGAGGCTGTGCAGCAGCTCGTTATCAAGGTACATTTGGAAGAACGCAAGAAACAAGATCTAGCATTTATTTTTCCCACCAGCTTTAAACCTAGCTTTATTAAGGTTTTGCTGAAAGATGATGCCAGTTGCTAGTTGTATACCCCAATGATTTTATCCTATATATTTTTATTTTTAGCTTGTATGGTACCATCTAGTGGTTGATAAAAAGAAATACTCGCCACTAATCAACACAGTTGTTGCATCTATCTTGATGATGAGCTTTCATCCGCTGTGATTTTATTATGACTGAAATCTAATTGGGCCTCCACTGAGTCAACTACTGAAAATTCTGAAACACACATTGGACTGGCTATGTAAGGTAACACAGCTACAGTGCATCGACACTTTCACTTTCCTCTCCAGCACATAGATTCTCACACACACATTTTAGTTAGTACTCAGCACTGTGGGCAGTACTCAGACCGTCACTCTCCAGAGAAAGTTTTCAGGTAAAAGAAGTTGTTGTTCTTAAAGGTACAGTGTGAGGACCAAATACACATTCTCAAGTATTGACTTTTACTGTAAACATAAAGCTTCAGTCTGTGAGGTCAGGGTGTGTAAAGGGTTTACTCCCGACACTGATATTAAAACGCCAACATTGGCATGCAAATGCGTCGTCTTTTCCCCTTTGAGTTTCATAGATAGCCCGTGCACTTACACACACATACACGCACACACACACGTCAGATTGCAGGATTATCTGTCCTGTGTTGCCTACGTGCTCCTTGTTTGTCCTGAAGAGGTGGAGGGTGGGTGGAGCAAGGTGAATTACGTGTACATTATGTCCAGTAAATAGGTTATACACCTTCTAAGATGTTCTTCTGGGGCAGATCCCATGCAGTCAAAGCTGGTTTGAAAACTACCCAATAGGTCATCTTGTACACTGTGCTTGAGCTGCAGGTCAGGTCACCAAATGTTATTTTGGTGAAAATGCAGAAATTGATGGCTGTATACAAGTATTGTTTTCCCATAGTAACAAGTGTGCCAGTATATGAGAAGGGATACACACTTTAGAGTGTGTATCTTAATTTGGAATTACATTCTTCAAATACACACTTATCAGAACCATTCCCTTGACATAAAATTAACATTATTCATGTATTTATGGCAATATTTGTAATTGCAAACAAAAAATATATATTTAAATTTTTTTGAGAATTAACAGCTTTTAGGCCTAATTAAATCAGTCTGTCACTTGACTGTTTTTGGAGTATTTTCAGGAAATGTTTATGAAAATCATTACTTTGGAAATGTTTTCCCAGAATATCACTGAACAATGACTGCTGTCTTCTCCCGTCTCATTTATTTACATGTTTTCCCACTGATCACATACCTACACTTACTCAGGTTAATTCAGTAGCCAATGCCCCTCTGTCTGACATTGGCTGATCCAATTTAGGGATCTCTTCATCACGAGTTTGTTTTAACCAGCCTGCAAGGCACCATGGGAGGCCAGGAGCTTAAGCCAACTGGTAAGCAGCAGGGGTATAAAATGCCACTCACAGAACAGGGCTAAACAACTTCAGAGGCTTACCAACATTTGGATCTATAGCTCAGGGAGCCACTGTGACAACAGTTTTTCAGTAGCGAGCAACTTTGAACTCTTGTCCTGCAAAAATGGTCCTGGAGGATTCTGATGTGGAAATGATTGTTGCTGAGATTGAAGTCAGCGTGAGTAGAGTGAAGGCTTTGTTGAAATGTTTGCTCTGAGCAGTTTCCAGTGGATTTGTTGGATTGTGCTGCCTGCTGTCGGAGTTGTTTAACAGGTGTCTGAACAGAGAATTATAAAAGTGGTTTGGTTGTTTGTTTGTTTTTATAATTTGGTTGTAGATTAGTTTTAAAACTGAAAGAAAATTGCTTCAAATATTGATGACATTAAAAACATGTCTACCATTAGACGAGGCATGAAACATTTCGTACATGCATCATTGCAAACTGAAATGCAAGAATGACGATCCTGTGGTTAATTGGGGTGGTAGTGGTGGTAAATGTATTCAGTTTAGACATATCACTCTGTTACTGGACACAGTGTTGCAGTGCATTGTTTTTCTCGTCGTTTAGAGCTTAAAGCTGAATTCCTTGATGTGTTTGCTTTGAATATTGTGAAATTGCTTTTTATCAGCACATTTGATGCCAAATTTGGTCTTTTTTTTTTTTTTTGCACCTGTAGGAGCATGATGTGGAGACTCCGCATGGACGAATCCACTGTACAATGAAGGGGGTGCCCAAGGGTGACAGACCAGTCATCCTCACCCTCCATGATATTGGACTGAACCGTAAGTCTGGCTCCTTATGCCGCTCTACCGAGTCGATACATCTGTTGTTGTGCCTAAAAGTGTTTTGAATTATCACACCATGTAGGATCTGATTAAGTTGAGCAAGCTAACTTTATATTAAGTTTATTATGTTTCAGCATGTAAGCTCTTCCAAGCTGACTGACCGATCTTTATGACTGTGTTAAATGCAAGGCGCTGAGGCACAAAGCCCTCATACACTTATTCTCAGGTTACTTGAGGCTGTTCCTGCTTATCCGCAAAGGATCACTTATCCACCTCCCTTTTTTTCCAGACAAAACCTGCTGGAACTCACTCTTCAACCATGAGGACATGTCAGAGATCATGCAGCACTTTGCTGTGTGTCATGTTGATGCCCCAGGGCAGCATGAGGGAGCTAACACGTTTTCCACTGGGTGAGCCAGACACACACAGGCACTTGTATGTATGTCAAGCAGTCCGTGACCTTTAACTCAAACAGGTAGATCAGTGTGGATGTGCTTAAGATGACCTAATTCGACAAGTGTTTTGTGGGGACAGTTGTTCTCGTCCTCCTTCTCGTTCAGCCTAATCTCTGCTTTGTTGGTGGGACTTCGCCTCATGTTAATGCTACCTGAGCTGAACATGAAACCAGCTCATGAAATACACATGGCTTTTACAATCTGATATCAACAACAAGGATCAATAAAGATCCGTGATTAGAAAGTGGTTATTATTAAATTGTTAACTAAAGGTTTGTAACAACTTGTTCTTTGTTTTCAGATATGAGTACCCTTCTATGGACCAACTCTCTGAGACCCTGCCACTGGTGTTGAAGCACTTTGGGTAAGTTAATTTGCAAATCTTAAATTTGACTGTCCACACTCACATGAAGATTTTTTCAAACCTGTTGTCCTAACAGTATCCTTATATGTCTGATCGCAGGCTGAAGAGTGTTATTGGAATGGGCATTGGAGCTGGCGCCTACATTCTGACCAGATTCGCTGTAGGTTTCACCCTTCAACTCTCAATCAGGCTTAATAATTATGAGTTTAATCATTTTAGGATTAGCAGAGCCGGCTAATGTGTCTTTTTGCTGATTTTGGCAATATAACGTTGCTTATTGTTTGAGCCTGCTGAGCCATAAAAGCCTCAGGAATGTTCCAGATCAGCTCAACACTAACACTGTGCTCAGTAGGAAGTCTCACTTTGTGGACACAAAGC